GCTGGTTTTGCCTTCTTTCTTATAGGAAAAACTATTTAGAATTTATATGATTTCGAATTTTTTGGTTTTCATGACTTTAGAGCTGTGAAGCTGACTCGAAATGTGAATTTTTATAAAACTTATGCGGCATTTGATTGTTCATAATTTGATCATATTTGTCCATACATAATTTTTTTGTCCACTTTGCAGAAAAGTTACATACAAACAAAAAATTGAATTAAATTTTGTCACATTTAAATACGTTTTTTTGTCCTGTAACTTTTCTTTGCAAAATAGATAAAAAAAATTATATATGAACAAATATAGTTAAATTGTGGACAATTAAATGCCGCATAAGTTTTATAAAAATTCAGAGTACCAGCTTTACAGACCTCTTGACTTCTTAGCTTCGTCTATTTTATTCAGCGTTAAGTATAAATGCCTGATCTCTCATATTGAAATCTAACCCTACAATTATATCATATAAATAATATTGATAATACTTAATGTATTAATAATAAAAAAATGTTTTATTGATTCAATATCCTCATTCTCGATGCGATGTGCGAAAATATAGCCTAATAGTCTGTTTGTGATAATTCCGCTTGAAACACAACCAGCTACCATGCCAGCTGGCTAATAGAGGTAGATATATAAAAGGAGATTGAAAGGTGATTGATGGAACAAGTCGATCAAGCCTCCACAAACATCCAATGTGAGTGTGTATAATGGATAAGCTGAGCGTATGTTACGTGGCAAAGATACGAGGAATCTGAACGTTCCTGAAGAAAAGATTCTTTCCTACTTGTGAAATCGGACAAACGAGAAACCTGACCATTAAAAGATAAAACTATTCTAGAAAAAGTCAAAAGTATTTGAAATGCATACAAATATTAAAAAGCGTCTTTTCCGCCTCTTTGATGTCTCGAATTCTTGTCAGTTTGAACGTTTTATTTTATACACATTTATATTACTTGATCGTTTAAATTAAATAATAGGAGATAATGAAATAGTTGCGAAATCACATATCAATGCTCTTACTCGTAATTTATCGAATATATATATATATATTTCATAAATACACGACAATAAAAACACGAAAAACTTTCCATCTGCCTCGTGATGCTGTGCATCAATATCGTGTAAGCAGCATGATAAGTTTACATGATACATAAACGCGTCAGCGGCATCGAGTTGGCAACCGCATGAACGATCATAGACTTCGTCGAAGAAACTAAGCTGATAAAAAAAATCATGATTGACTTCTCGAGATATTTTATGCGACGACCGGGAAATATGATAATTCTCTGATTTCTCTCACCGCATTCGTTATATATATGCGAATAAATCTAACGCTTATTTGCATTTTTATTCGAGAATATTAACATTTTTATCTACATATTATATGCTGGATTGACATAAAAAGTTTGCGTGTATTTTGAATATATCGTATAATAGAGAATATATCTTATATATCGTATAAGCGTCTATAGATGGAAAATAAAATATTAATTTATATACTGATATGCATAGTATACAAATATTTACTTTAAATAAATACGATAGTGAATTTGAACATTTAACGAGAATATTAGCCTCGTAATATCATAGAAGTCAAACCTCACTTATTTTTCGAATAAAAACTTAATTTGAAAAGCAAGAGAAAGAAAGATAGTGTTATGAATATCGAGCATTGTTTGTAAGGCAATATGTATGTACAGAAATCACGTAACTTCATAATGTATCATGATAAAACTGATAATTTAGATCTCTCGTTAAACACACATAAACGGTCGATGCTTGCAATTGAAATCCTCTAGCGTTAACAATTTAATTAATAATAAAATACTAAACAAATCTTTGTCCTCATTATCGCACAACTCACTGGCTCAAAGCACGCTGTTTGCTTTCAGTCGCGTCGTTCTCGTTAAATTTTCACAATGAAAAAAACATGTTTATTAAAGATCAAAAGTCTCGTTTCGGTATAAAAAGGCCAATTGTAATTTTGAAAAAGTTACATTTTAATTAATGTTGTTATTTGCATTCAGAAATATTCAATATTTAACTAAAAAGAGGAATGCACTCGAAATCTCTGTTTATATTTGTTAGTACAAACATTTCTTTTAATACGCGCCCATTCTGTTCACTATTAACAATCTCCGAAAATTAACAGTGCGTTAAATGAATCAATATGTCGCTTTGAATGCAACATTAAATTATCGGCGATAAAAGCGCGAAAGAGGCAGCTCAATCAAGACCGGTTGATAAATCACACCGCGGCCTATAAACATAAATATTGTATAAGTAAAACATTATCGCGCAATTCGACGTTCTCGGTCTCTCTTATATCGCTCGATCATGCGCAACATGTCCGTAATGAGAGAGATAATAGCGGCCGCGGACGCGATACGATCTTGTACTTTCGACAAAGCATAATCGATCATCGACTTTTAAGTCTTATCGATAATTCGCCACGTGTGAAATATACATTATCACATGGCTACAAGTACGCGTTATCGCTCGTAAAAATATATGAGCATTAGTTCAAGAGTAGTGAATGAAAATAAATTACGTTAAACTGTAAAGAGCGTGATAAATTAATGATCGGTACTTTTTTCCGATTAACCTCTCCTACTAAAATGCAAAGAATAATGCGTAAATAAATTTTAAACAGAAAGCATTATCAATATTGTGTCCACTAGACACAAATTTGTATTTCTCTCAGAGACGCCAGTGTTTTCTATTAAAATTTCCAATGTGTTAAATAAATGAGCAAATTTTGTGATGTGCAAAAACAACGTAAATTAAATTTTTATCGCTTTTGCTGTAAATTCACGTTGAAAACCTTGACAGAGAAATAGGAAAGTGATAAACGCTGCAAAGATTATCTGGATTAATTATTTTTGCACACAGTGTATGTAAAAAAATACATAGTCGATTCACGAACGTAAAGCCGTTACGCGTGAATACTCGATATATTAATACGCATCGTGTATACACACGCTTGCAGACAAACACGTCGTGTTTTCAGCAAAGCTGTGCGTTTTTGCGCACCGCGGCGTGATTGACAGCCATCATTGCACTGCACTGTGCATTCAGTGCATCGCAATTACGCGTGTAATATGCGCTCCGAGAAATAAATTATACGCATATCTCGTCTTTAGTGGATTTATTGATAGCCGCGTGGCGCATTAACAAAGTAAGCTCTCATCCAGCTATCGAATTATCAAGATCAATTATCTAAAAAAATTGTGCAAACATCTTAATGCAATTTTTCCTACCACTTAATTCGAACTCAATTACAGCATCTGATAGAATATTATTAATGCAAATCATTATTTGCGTTGAGTATTAAAGAGATCGTACGTCTGTCGTGAAGCATCGATCGTCAAGAATTCGTTAAGTCGTTCCGATCGCAGTAATACAATAACAAAGATTGATACGGCGAGATTACGCAAGTGTTTCGCTCCGGATAATTTAATCAGACGATTCGCCTCCATTTGCGCGGATTAAATCGATTCCACGAAAAATTTATCGCCGTTCAAATGGCCTAGGGTACAATCGACCTACCCGCCTCTTCCCCCTCCCGCCCATCCTCATTTAGTCCCAATTCCAGTAGTTTGACACTAATTGACGCAGGTACGACCTATCGCCACTCGACTATATCCATTACGGTGAGCATAGATATATGTGAACATTTACCGTTAGCTGTGGTAATACGCGCGGGGGATTCGACAGAATAGCTATTTCGAACAGGCAACGAAGAGAGAATCGAGGAATGGTTTTCCCTATTATCTCCCTTACTCGTGGAGAAATTCTTCCCCTCCCGCTCCTTCGCCACTCTCATTGGATTCTCCCTGAAATTGCTCGAGGAATGTCGTAGTCTGCAGAGAGACTGGAACCAAACTTGGTTCTTCAACGTGACCTCTCCTCCGCAATCGAACCACTTCCGATTGACTGCATATATTAAGTCTCGTTGGGCGAAATTGTTCGAAAATTAGCTTTGCTCGCTGTCTGAGCGAAAAAATGTTTATTTACATCTTATACAGATTTCGTGAGTAGTAAACGATCAAATTTCTCGAATAAATACGTATATAAATACGTATATTTTAATGTTTGCCTAAACAAATTTTATATAAACGGCAAGATTTATGTAAATTGCGCAAACTGAGCTTATGACTAATTTTCTAAATTTATCCTTTGTAAAAAGCAAACCACTTTGAATCACATTTTAAAAAGCATTTAAAAAGCACATTAAGAAAGAAAACAGAACAAAAATTCGAAAACAAAAATAATATCTACTTTTAATAAATGTTTACGATTGTTCATAGCAAAAAAAAAACAAAAAAATTGAGGAGAAATGATGAAATTTATTTTCTTTGAGAAATGGATTTGGCGAAAAAGAAATGAAAAGAAGAAATTAGAAAACCTATCACAAGTATAACGGAAACAGACTATGAACGGTATAGATTACGCGTGAAAAGACAATTTGCATACAAAATTCATGTTTAATGTCAGTTGGTAATATGCGAGGAAGACAGAAACTACGGCGGAATAACTATTTCGACGGATGAACGAGTATGTGCGCTTATATGAATGTTATAGCCTACTATTCGTTGTGAAACAGGTCGTTTCTGCAGTCATGCGCATACAGTAACATTCGTGAAAGTAAATCCGTATCCACTCGTTCAGGAGAAAAATGACTCCTTTATGGAGACTCGCTTCCTGCATTTATCCTTATTTGCTGCGCGATTCAATTTGCTCGCGTGATGACTTATGATTTCCGGCGATTTATCCGACATGTTTCGGAGACGTCTGGCGACCAAGCATCAGAAATGCCAAACAGCGTAAGCGACAAAAATATCTCTCGCGCAACTCACGCTTTTCTTTAAACACGCAAACTTTATCACTCTATCGTTATTTTCAACAACACATTATTTTTTTATCGCTTATAACTGTAACGCATAGTTTATGGCATCAATTTTTTATTTATTCCAAATTATTATTTTGGCACCACTTACCAATTCTGCATTTCCAGTCTATCAATTCCGGCTATCGAGGTATATCCCACGAAAACGCTTATAAATCTGAAAAAAATAAATAATATTCTGTTAATATTGTGTATTAAATAAATCAATATTTCTACATAATAGTTTACTAAGTACACATATAAATTACTCCAACAATAATATACCTATGCCCATTATCTTTACGCTGATGTGAGCAATCACGCAATTACTGTAGTGAATAAACAATTTTATCGTGCACAGTCTTTCTATGACGCGATATCTTTCAACACTTAACTCAAAAGGAAAAAAAAATTTATAAAAATGCAATTATCGAATTTTCTAGAATTAATTATTCTGAAAATTCAATTTATTAAATTCTGCAAATCTCAAACTTTTTCTTCTTTAAATATTTTTTAATAAATGATACTTTTTATAAATAAATGATTCTTTTTCTTTTTATCAACATTTTTTTATAATATGTAATCAAAATACAAAAAGTTAACTAATTTAGAAATATCTAACTAATATTATAAAAAAGATATCGTCGAACGTTTATAATTCATAAGAAATAAGACATTTTAAAAATAAAAATTAATTTTTTTTAATTTATATAACTCTATTGGTAATTAAACAAATATATATTTTAATATGTGTTTAGTTATTTCCTCTGCCTGAGGCAATCGAACATGATGAGTGTATACAATTATCATAACTCGAGAGTTCAAGTTAATATCTATATTAAACATTAAGAGATAATAATGTACAACGTATTAAATCGATATCTTTCGGTTGTAGCAAACATAAGGAAACAATCGGGGCAGGAAGTTTCTTTTAGCTGCACAAAAATCTGCGATTTATTCCTTCAGGAAGATATTATATCGACATATAATGCAACGTCAACGTGACCACAGGCGATAGCTTCTCTACGTTCTGTTCAATATTTCTGTTATAATGTTTTCTGTGTTACGATCAACGCGCGTTTTATGCTTATCTTTACGAGCTTTTAACCTACGGAAGGACGGCTGAAGATACAGAGCAGATATAATACGAAATTGTTCAACAAATAGTTAAAAAAAAATGTTCACTCTAATTTGCGTGTAAATTTTTTTTTCTCAGAAAATAACAACGCGTCATACATGTTTTGCCTTTAAATAAAAATATCGTATCTATAAAATATAAATATAAAAATAAATATAAATAAAAATATAAAAATTATTCGCATAATATTTAAATAAGAATTTATATAACGTTCTAGCAAGATTGTGCAAATAAATTTATTTCATAATGTACGAATTTTTAGAAATAACCGCGACAACAATAAAATAGAAAATTAAATATACATATACTTAGTATTTGATATATTCATTAAAGTTGAGTTCTAAATTCGTCTTTTTATGTTTAACATACATGAGTCATTCAGAAATAAAATAATGAATATTTTCTTTTCTTCGAAAATGCTAATTTAGATTCTATGCTTAATATAGTGTCATTATTGATTTCTTATTAAAAAAATATACAATACACTATTCATTACACTTTTTGAAGTTTCCACTACTTCAAAAGTGTACTTTAATTTATGTAAAAATAATATTTTATTGACACTTTCAAAATTTAATTCTTTAAAAGGTAATCATTAACTGGATTTTAAATTAAGTGTTTTCTGAAAAAAATCAATTTTAAATTCATCAAAATATCAATTGTTTAAATTGAAAAAATAATAATAGGCTTATAAATCATATTTTGTTAACAAATATATCTTCACACGATCATGTTTCTATAGAAATTCGATAAATCCATACAAAAAATTTTTTTGCGCACAAATGCTACACTATATTCAAATACTTTAATATTACATCTTTAACGATAGCAAAGTCAAAGTTTTCCGGTTCCGGATATATATTAGTTCGATATAGCGAACGAGACAGAAAAATAAACGCCGAAAATCAATGAACGAGCGCCATATAACCGCGAGCGTTTTCCTAGGAAACCGACAGCGACGCGATAAATATCCAACGCAGTAAAACCGGGCGTTAATGCACGCCAGGCCGATTTGTTTAATCCGGTCGATATTTTGCACGAGGTCCTGTAAGCCGTGATCCCGATACGATTTGGCAATCCCGTCACCGGAAATAGGCTCGTAAAAGTGTGTAACACGATAAACCGACCGTGACACGTTTTGCGCGCCGCTACAGAGACACTAAACTACACTACGATATTTCAAAAGCACCGATACTATTATTTTGATGCTTGCGTAGTATCAGTATTCTTCCTTAAGAATATTTGCAAGTAAATTTATTACTGCAATCACGATGTTAATATTGACCACACAATTTTTTTATTTTTTAAAGTTTCCTTTTGCGTTTCTTAATATTTTTCCCTAACGTTTCTTTATATTTTTCTTTCTACTATACCGTGGTATACGAAATGTGTGAACCTTGATGACAAAAACGTAAATCACTGTAATACCTCAGATTAACGAGTTTTCCACATGGCGGGTAGCCATTAGAGACAACAGCAATTTGTTATACTGTGTGCATAATGACAATCCTTTTATTACTCTTCGTTGAAGACACACCAACCATTTGTTTCATGCACTTTTTTTAATCGTTGTTGTTATGGTTTATGCATCTTAGATGCAGATATTAAGTCGTATAAAATTTTTTGGTAAAATAAACATAATGATAAGGACATTTCAAATACATTAAAACAATGTTGAACGAGATCTGCAGAATTTTCGTTTGTAATTTGATGAACATCTAGCATTTCTTGTATTATTTAATACTGCGAATCCAATAAAATAATTGGATAGACACATTTAGCACATGCAGAACACGAAATGTCGTGTGGAATCAATGGATTTTATGCACATTTTCCGAACAAACTTATAGTGTTTTCGCGCTCAAAGTAATAACAGTACTTTTTATCGCTCACGATAGTTGCTGCTCATTTATGGACACGCGGAAAAATCGTTAAAAGGTCGTTAAGCGGGGAATTACGGTTTGGTTCGAGCTACTCAATCATTAAAAATCGCGTTTTGTTTCAATGCAATAAAGTAGAATCTTTTTATTTCGATATGTAAATCCGATCTGATTTCCGATGCAAAACGATAAGAATATAATTCCTATAGTTTATTTCTGCGCTCTCAAGCGAGTCAAATTGAACATAAATAAACGCTACAAAAATTGGTAGCCACTCCTAAATGCAATATAGTATTTTAATAAAAAATTGCATAATTAAATGTCAATATTAAATTGTAAAAAAAGGCAAGTCATAATAAACAAAATATATAACACAGATAAAGATACCTTAATATTTTTTCACAAAAAAAAGGAAAAAAAAAACAATAATGATTAATAATAATAAAGTTTTTCAACAAGTATAATTATACGCAGTCTCACATTCTCATGTGTTGGGAGTTTTAAATAAATTCTTAAATCTTTGCATTTTGTGAATTATATAATAACAAATATAAATCACTCGAGTATTGTTGAAATCGATATGCGTGCCTGTGTAAGCATACGCCAGTTTTGAAAACATCTCAAATGTTTTTGATGAACAATGCACGACAAACCGCAATGCATACTGTACACGCATATCGCACCCACTATGCTATATTTTCGAATCGAGACATGCACATACGTTAGCGTGACACTTGCAATCTGAACCACTCGCGGAAATACCAGCTTCGAACTTAATGTACCGAGAGCGTGGGCGATACCACGGAAAAGTGTCAATTCGAGACTCGCGGTGTTATCCTGCTAAGCCGGTTTTATCTAATACGCTTCTTGAACATCCAACAAATAAAAATATTTGCGCGTTTTATGCAAAATTATAATATATATAATCGCAATTCTTAAATTCAGAAATTCCTATATTAATGCAAACAAATTCGAAATAATCGATTTAAAATAAAATAAAATTAATAAAATTAAATTAATATTTTTATTATTTAAAAAATTTTTATTTTATTTTTATTTCTTATCAGGTATTTGCAAAAGATTGGTTTTAGTTTACATGATAATAAATAATAGCGCGATGAAAATTGTAGTCACTAGAATTGCTACCATTTTTAAATTCGTGGTAAGAAAATGCATAAGCTACACAGAAGACGATTTGTCTTCTACCTGGAGAAAGCTCAGAAGTAGCAACCTGAATATTACAGGCATCGGGAACTGGCGGGGGCTTTATCTCCGCATCGGGAACTGGCGGGGGCTTTTACAAGCACATCAACGCAAGTACCGATATTACGAGCGCTTTCACGACGAGGCAGATGGAAAAGAATGGCCGACTCTACCTCAAAAGGAATTCTGTCAGTGTCGACGTCTTGTTTACGCTCGTTTGAATTGTCAAATTCATTCCGGCTCGCACCGGGCATTTTATTCCCCACGGAGAGAAGTACGAGAAAATACATAGATCGTATTTTATTTGGATATATGTAGTACGAAATATAAAGACAAGTTAAGTGAATAAACCGAAGCTCGGTAAATATAAAACTGTACACGTGCTTTTTTTCAAGGCAATAAAAAACGACAAGAGTGAAAAGCGATACAAACTACGACACTTTTGTCTACTCAGCTAGCACAGGTGGATATCGTGTGTTCCCACACGTTTCCATCGTAAAAAAAAGAAGAGAGAAACGAAACAACAGCAGCAATTTTCATGTCCGACTTCCGGCGGTCTAGTTGTTCCGTTTGAACATCGTTAACTTACATTACGCGCCTACCGATACTAGCCGTGATTCTAAATTGCTGTGAGTTGCTGTGAATAGCCTAGTATTTTATATAATCTGCTTTGAAATAAGTATTTCAATATTTATAGATAATGCGCTAACAATTAATTTTATCTAACTATTTCAGAATATTTTATTACTTATTAATGAAATAATTCAAGTCGTTAAATGCCCAATTTCAAAATCGTATTATATTTAACACAAACACGACTTATAATTTAAAAAATTTTTTTCACTACATGTTACTTTAAACTCGACAAAAATTGCGAATGACGGATTATATAAAGCTCCGATATATTTCGATAAGCACAGAAAATTTTATGATATCACAATATGCGACAAATGGTGA